AAAAGTCCAGCGGAGGGCAACCAAACTAATTAGGGGTATGGAGGACCAGAGCTACGAGACAAGGCTACTAAATTTAAACATGTTCACATTGGAGGTGAGGAGATTAAGGGGGGATATGATCTCCATGTACAAAATGTTCAATGGTGGTAGCAACATTAGCGATAAACTGTTTAAAATTAACTCCATTACAAAAACTAGAGGCCACCACCTAAAATTGGTGGAAAAAAAATTCCAGCACAAGGGGCGAAGGGGGTTCTTCACAGTAAGATCAGTTAGGGTCTGGAACTCACTGCCACAGGCGGTGATTTCAGCAAATAATGTGGAATTGTTCAAGAAACTTTTGGACGATTTCTTAAGGGACCGTAATATACAGGGGTACAGGTACTCCTAGAATGAGATCCTAATAGGTTGGACTTGATGGACTAATGTCTTTATTCAACCTCAAATACTATGTAACTGTGAAAACTCTATGTATGGTATCTTTTCAGAATATGTCGGGAGAGGTGGCAGGAGATGGCAATGGTGGCTGTGGCGAGCCAGGAGAGGCTATGGGACCTAGTTATTGGCAGGTCAGCAGAGGTGGCAGTGGCTGGTAAGGGTGGCAGGCTAGGAGAGGTAGCCAAAGCTGTTAATGGTGGTACTGGCAGACCAGGAGAGGTGGCAGGAACTGGTTATGGAGGCAGGCCAGCAGAGGTGTAAGGAGCTGGTAATGGCAGCAGGCAAGCAGAGGTGGCTGCAGGGGTATTGTAATTATTGCTGATCAGAATTGGTTCATATTTATGAAAGTGAGCTGGTTCACAGTGTCAAGTGACAAGCAGATTTGTCTCTTTGTAACATAACTGCCTGCTGTGCTGAAGGCAATTGCAGAAGCACACTGGTCACAGGGCAAGTCATAAGCTCCAGCACATACTGTGCAAGCTCTGGCCAGTGGTACAACCTGAACACACCCCAGTCTATGTAGTCCTTACTTCAAAGTGTGTCCGTATCAGCCCTGGATCTCAAGTAGGCTGTATTTATAAGGTTGAAGTGCTACTTGTGACTACTGCCTTCAGCCGGGCTTGTCCACATTGCCTGGTCTACCCCACAAGCAGCATGTTCTCCAGAAGAAACACCTAAATGATCATGTAGTTGATCCTCACCTCACTGCAGTTCATCATTCTGGTCAACACTTCAAATAACATTCTGCATGCATCCAAAATTGGAGCCTCTTGTGTAGTAAAAAAGAAAAGCGGATCCGAAGAGCCTGTCCTCATTCAATACTCACACAAATACTCATGTATATCCCACTGCTGAAGCTGTTGCAGTATGTTCAGGTTCTAGTGGTTGGCTATACTGTATCCCGTATCAGACCGTTGACAGAGATATGAATGCCTTAAGTGGCTGAACACTTTTCTGGAAGCCCAGATATCCAACCAGGAGCCGACCAGTATTATTGAGGTGCTGCTCCCACCAAGCATTGAGGTGCAGATTCCTGGTTCTACTCATGCATACGGTACTTAAAAAGCTGTTATTTTCAACATAGCTGATACAGTGCAGGCAATGGCTGCAGCACACAACAATGCTGTTGTCTAGAGATGTGCCTGTCTTATTTTAGTGAAACGTGGAAAGTTTGCTCTTTCATCCCATGTTTCTTTTATAATTTCCTAATTGTTTAATTGACCTACACTCCTCCACCACATAGTCCTATAAATTTTGTTGTGTTTTGGGGGAAGGCACATTTGCCAGGGGGAATTGACACTTTTGCCAAGTCTGTTTCAACCAAAGTGTCTAATTTTTTTTTTTAAACAAATTTTATTTGATTTTTTCATATAAAACTACAAAATAAAAATGAAACAAACATACTATCAGCAGGTTACAGAAGTGTGCATATCCATAAACATTATACATCAGACGTGTAGGATGTGTCAGGGTACCTGTGCTATCTGCTCCCCTGTTACCCACGTGGAAGAATCCTGTCTCCCTGTATACAGTTATATGGCATTGTGTCTCCCTGTATACAGTTATATGGCATCCTGTCTCCCTATATACAGTTATATGGCATCCTGTCTCCTGTATACAGTTATATGGCATTGTGTCTCCCTGTATACAGTTATATCGCATTGTGTCTCCCTGTATACAGTTATATAACATCATGTCTCCCTGTATACAGTTATATGGCATTGTGTCTCCCTGTATACAGTTATATGACATCCTGTCACCCTGTATACAGTTATATGGCATCCTGTCTCCCTGTATACAGTTATATGACATCCTGTCACCCTGTATACAGTTATATGGCATCCTGTCTCCCTGTATACAGTTATATGACATCCTGTCACCCTGTATACAGTTATATGGCATCCTGTCTCCCTGTATACAGTTATATGACATCCTGTCACCCTGTATACAGTTATATGGCATCCTGTCTCCCTGTATACAGTTATATGACATCCTGTCACCCTGTATACAGTTATATGGCATCCTGTCTCCCTGTATACAGTTATATGACATCCTGTCACCCTGTATACAGTTATATGGCATCCTGTCTCCCTGTATACAGTTATATGACATCCTGTCACCCTGTATACAGTTATATGGCATCCTGTCTCCCTGTATACAGTTATATGACATCCTGTCACCCTGTATACAGTTATATGGCATCCTGTCTCCCTGTATACAGTTATATGACATCCTGTCACCCTGTATACAGTTATATGGCATCCTGTCTCCCTGTATACAGTTATATGACATCCTGTCACCCTGTATACAGTTATATGGCATCCTGTCTCCCTGTATACAGTTATATGACATCCTGTCACCCTGTATACAGTTATATGGCATCCTGTCTCCCTGTATACAGTTATATGACATCCTGTCACCCTGTATACAGTTATATGGCATCCTGTCTCCCTGTATACAGTTATATGACATCCTGTCACCCTGTATACAGTTATATGGCATCCTGTCTCCCTGTATACAGTTATATGACATCCTGTCACCCTGTATACAGTTATATGGCATCCTGTCTCCCTGTATACAGTTATATGACATCCTGTCACCCTGTATACAGTTATATGGCATCCTGTCTCCCTGTATACAGTTATATGACATCCTGTCACCCTGTATACAGTTATATGGCATCCTGTCTCCCTGTATACAGTTATATGACATCCTGTCACCCTGTATACAGTTATATGGCATCCTGTCTCCCTGTATACAGTTATATGACATCCTGTCACCCTGTATACAGTTATATGGCATCCTGTCTCCCTGTATACAGTTATATGACATCCTGTCACCCTGTATACAGTTATATGGCATCCTGTCTCCCTGTATACAGTTATATGACATCCTGTCACCCTGTATACAGTTATATGGCATCCTGTCTCCCTGTATACAGTTATATGACATCCTGTCACCCTGTATACAGTTATATGGCATCCTGTCTCCCTGTATACAGTTATATGACATCCTGTCACCCTGTATACAGTTATATGGCATCCTGTCTCCCTGTATACAGTTATATGACATCCTGTCACCCTGTATACAGTTATATGGCATCCTGTCTCCCTGTATACAGTTATATGACATCCTGTCACCCTGTATACAGTTATATGGCATCCTGTCTCCCTGTATACAGTTATATGACATCCTGTCACCCTGTATACAGTTATATGGCATCCTGTCTCCCTGTATACAGTTATATGACATCCTGTCACCCTGTATACAGTTATATGGCATCCTGTCTCCCTGTATACAGTTATATGACATCCTGTCACCCTGTATACAGTTATATGGCATCCTGTCTCCCTGTATACAGTTATATGACATCCTGTCACCCTGTATACAGTTATATGGCATCCTGTCTCCCTGTATACAGTTATATGACATCCTGTCACCCTGTATACAGTTATATGGCATCCTGTCTCCCTGTATACAGTTATATGACATCCTGTCACCCTGTATACAGTTATATGGCATCCTGTCTCCCTGTATACAGTTATATGACATCCTGTCACCCTGTATACAGTTATATGGCATCCTGTCTCCCTGTATACAGTTATATGACATCCTGTCACCCTGTATACAGTTATATGGCATCCTGTCTCCCTGTATACAGTTATATGACATCCTGTCACCCTGTATACAGTTATATGGCATCCTGTCTCCCTGTATACAGTTATATGACATCCTGTCACCCTGTATACAGTTATATGGCATCCTGTCTCCCTGTATACAGTTATATGACATCCTGTCACCCTGTATACAGTTATATGGCATCCTGTCTCCCTGTATACAGTTATATGGCATCCTGTCTCCCTGTTTACAGTTATATGACATCCTGTCTCCCTGTATACTGTTATATGGCATTGTGTCTCCCTGTATACAGTTATATGGCATCCCGTCTCCCTGTATACAGTTATATGGCATCCCGTCTTCCTGTATACAGTTATATGGCATACCGTCTTCCTGTATACAGTTATATGGCATACCGTCTTCCTGTATACAGTTATATGAGGTTTCTTTGCAGTAGATCCTGCCATTCTCAGCACCTCCTACTGAAGTGCTACTACAGAACCCCCGCCAATGGATTGGGGAAGAGAATGGACACTGTAAGGGGGAAGAGAAATTTGTGAGTGGTATCTTGTTGGTGCAGCCACCACATGTAAGGACTGGAAGGTATAGGGGGGGGTGCAGACAAATCTAAGGACAGGAAGCTACAATGTATTCTCGGTTTTATATTCACTTTGATATATTAGCAGATACAATGTTCCATATAAGGAACTGAAGGCTGGAGTGACAGGCAGGGGGTGTGGCCTTTCTGTACTAGGTCAGTAAGAAGGCGGACTGCCATTGGAGGAGCCGGTCATTCCGTTGACAGGCAGTGGGCGGGATCAATGTCAGTGAAGAGATCCGAAGGGCGGAGTGTGTGGGAGGAGCCGGCCAGTCGCGGTGAAGGTACTAGGCGGGGTTAGTCGCTTGCAATATTATTGAGAGGGGGGAGTCCGCGTATTTCCCGCCTCCCGAAGGCGCTTGTTTGTTTCCGGCGGTTGCTGGTTTCCATAGAGACACTTCCGGGCGGCAGAGTCAAGTGAGAATTGGAGTGTGAGGTGGCCACAGCGGAGAATGGCGAGAGCGGGGGTCGGCAAGGTGAGAGCTGGGGGACACCAGGGGGGTCAGGGCCTCTCTGAGGAATAGTGGAGGAGGGGCGCAGGGTTATGATGTACGTCTGGAGAAGGTGGGGGCAGGAGGCTTCGGGGTGGAGATGGAGGGGGCAGGTGACCTCAGGGTGGAGATGGAGGGGACAGGTGACCTCAGGGTGGAGATGGAGGGGACAGGTGACCACAGGGTGGAGATGGAGGGGACAGGTGACCACAGGGTGGAGATGGAGGGGACAGGTGACCGAAGTGTGGAGACGAACGGGACAGGTGACCTCAAGGTGGAGATGAACGGGACAGGTGACCTCAAGGTGGCGATGGAGGGGACAGGTGACCTCAGGGTGGAGATGGAGGGGACAGGTGACCACAGGGTGGAGATGGAGGGGACAGGTGACCACAGGGTGGAGATGGAGGGGACAGGTGACCTCAGGGTGGAGATGGAGGGGACAGGTGACCTCAGGGTGGATGTGGGGGATGGGTGTTGATTGGGATGACACTCGATGTTATTGTGTTCCAGGCTTTCTCTTCCGGGAGGATTCCGATTCCGGGCAGATCTCTGAGCAGTAAGAAGAGGTAGGTACTCGGCCTCCATAAGACCTCCACGCTACAACACCCCCTCCCCTCATCACCTCTCTGTCTCCTCTCCCCAGGATCGCCCCCAGGAAGGCCTCCACCGCGCCTGCTGTTTCCGGATACTCTCTGTGCTCCACCGACTCCGAAGATCAGGTCAGAGCAGAAATCATATCGGGAACATGTACAGAGTGTCTCCGTGTCTTGTGATCACTGGGAGCCAATCACAGCCCTCCTCTGTCAGCAATGGCGTCCACCCGACACCCTGCCACAATCCCAACCAATCGCCCGCCCCACTGTACCCAGACACGGAGGGGGAATCCAGGGGGTGACCCGATGCCAGGAAGAGGGCGGCCGTGGGCTTGTGACGGGCTGGTTGCCATGGTGATGAAGACGCTGTATCATGTGTATAGACCGCTATAATCATGTAAACATAACGAGCACGGCACACGCTATGTACACGCCACACCACAGATGTGCGTTCTTCAACGGATCCGGGTGCCTGTTAGAGACCATACCGGGCACTCCGTCCTCAGAGTCTGATAGTCACATGGTCAGCGTCGCCCGGCCTCTGAGCCGTCGCAGACGCATCGGCTGAGGAGTTTTTCTGTTGGTGGGCGGAGCCAGACCGGGGATTATTTGACTGTTCGTCTCTTCTGATTTGTTGTTGCGTATTCCCGGGCTGATATCTGAAGCGCGGTGTTGCTCTCATTGCAGGTTTTAGTCATCAATAGAGGTCTGGACCAATGTGCGGTGTTATTACAAGACATCCTGCAGAGCGAAGGACGAGGTACGGACTCCTCCTGCACACTCAGTCTCTTCTATAGAGAGTCACCAGTCAGAATGTAGAAAGAATAGGTTACCAGCACTCAAAATGATCCTCAGGGCAAAAGATGTGGGTCACATCTTTTGCCCTGAGGAAGGGACCCTGCGTGGCCCCGAAACGTTGGCTATTTGACTATTGCGACACGTATGTCCAATAAAAAGGACTTATCTATTTGAAATCATTTTGAGTGCTGGTAACCTATTCTTTCTACTTTGTGCATTACACGGTGCCATCCGTGGGAGTTACTGCAAGCACCTCATCTCTATTGGCCAGGACTGCTGAAAGGTGTGCGGAGAGCACCCTCACCAATTACAACCAGTCAGAATGTGACACCCCTGCTAGGAGATTTGGGGGTGGGTGTCAGTCTGAGGGGGGTGGGTGGTCCCGGGCAGGATGTATTTGCATGCAGACCACCCTAGGTAACGCCTGCATGTGATGCTGAGCCTCCGTGATTGAAAGAACTGAAATCCAATTAATAAAAGGGGCGGGGCCAGGGAACGTTAGCCTGAGGGGTAAAGTGCTAGATGATACTGGACATCCTCCAACCAGGAAATGGGGCGGAGCTCTATCTGACTTGCTGCAGCTTCTAATACACATTATGAGGAGCTCCCGGTGTGCAGTGACATCAGAGGAAGAGGAGCCGGTGCAACTGTGCAAGACTGAAGGGGAGGTCGGATATAAGACTGAAGGGAGGGACAGAGGTCAGGTGGAAGGCCCAAGGGAGGGACAGAGGTCAGGTGGAAGGCCCAAGGGTGGAGGTCGGGTGGAAGGCCCAAGGGAGGGACGGAGGTCGGGTGGAGGGCCCAAGGGAGGGACGGAGGTCGGGTGGAGGGCCCAAGGGAGGGACGGAGGTCGGGTGGAAGGCCCAAGGGAGGGACGGAGGTCGGGTGGAGGGCCGAAGGGGAGGACGGAGGTCAGGTGGAAGGGAGGGGCAGGCGGAGGTCAGTTGGACGGCCTGAAGGGAATGATCAAGGGCAAAGTGGAGGGCCAAAGGGGAGGACGGAGGTCAGGTGGAGGGCCGAAGGGGAGGACGGAGGTCAGACGTAAGTTACACTGAGTGAACACGCTGATGTTGGCACAGTTGCAGCGTTAGTAGCTCACTGATTGGCTGCCTGGCAGTGCTGTATGTAACGGGTCTCGTCCTCTCCCGCCATTCTGATGTCGGGGTGACATTGTGATTTCAGTCCTCTCTCCCGTGTCTCGCACGCAGAGAACACAACAAAGAGAACTCATGTGAAATCTTCAGGAAGAGTGAAGAAGAACGCAGTGAAGAAGCCGTCTACCGCGTCACATGTGCACAGAGAGAAAGGTGGGTGGGTGGGGTCTGTGCTGTCCAATCGCAGAGCTCATCCCATGATGTCATTGAAGGAAGTTGGTGGTCTGTGTGATCCGCATTGGACTGAGCCCCGTAATCTCATCTGTGTTTCCTCTTTCAGTTATTGTCAGGAAGTCGGCACCTTGGAGGGGTTCTAGTAATGTGGAGGTTCAGAGACCCCCCGGGACGGCCTCGTCTACCGCACCGCCCCCCACAAGCTGTGACCACGTCCAATCACAGATGCAGCTTCTGAACAGAGGAATGCGCAGTGCTGCGTCAGGTACGCGATACGGCAAGAACCAATTTATTATTATCTCGTCTTCTATTTGTAGTAACATTTCTGCTGATGATCCTCCGCAGGTCCCGAATCGGCCGTATTGTTTAATTGTCGCTTAGCAACGTCAACCCCGACCCTGACCCTGTCACCTCGACAGTCAGCAGACCCTCAGGTGAGGAATTTTATGGTGGACCTACCGCTCAGATCTCTGGAGGAGGGGGCGATCCTCCCGCTCAGATCTCTGGTGGAGGGGGCGATCCTCCCGCTCAGATCTCTGGTGGAGGGGGCGATCCTCCCGCTCAGATCTATGGAGGAGGGGGCGATCCTACCGCTCAGATCTATGGAGGAGGGGGCGATACTTGAAGCTCAAGTATGGGGCTAGGCATCGGAGCATTTGGGCGAGTACGAGTACTTTCCCAAATACTTGGTATCGGTGCATCCCTAGTGCTTTGAGACTGTGTCATTCTGAGACTGGTGAAGGGGGGTACCCTTGGGGCCCCCGAAAGAGCTTGACTGAATGGCAATGTGTCAATAAATGGACTTTTGCTGAATAACGTTTGGTGTGCTGGTGACATTTTACTTGATATTCTCCTCTTATCAGCCGACCTGCCAAGCTGACCAGCCCAGTAATTCTAACAAGCAGATATCGGACTCGGATCTCCTGCAGTGTGTCGCCGCACACTTGGCACAGCTGCACAGTGAAAAAGAGAGTCTCGCGACAGAGACCGAGGAGACGTCCAGTGACGACGAGGAGGTCATGATGGACAAGGCCACTGCCAGAGACATCAGCTGTCAGACGAGCTTCAACGGGAATAAAAAGAGCAGCCCGAAAAAAACCGAAGAGAAGATCAAAACGGTGAAATATCTTCTGGGAGAGATCAAGGCTCTGGTGGCCGATCAAGGTATCGTTCCCTGATCAGTATTGATGACGGTCATTCTACGTTCCCTGAGGGGGGTGGG